GCCAAGTTCCTGGGGGCCCCATAAAATTCCGTTTACATGCATGGTTAATACAGCTTTTACGAGTTTGTGCACATAAATTAGGTTTGTTGATAATAATCCTCTCGTTAAATGCAATCAGAATGCTTATAATATCAAGCGTGTCTCAGGGTCTTCAGTTTCCACCACATTGGATCAGTCCATTTCCTGCATACAAAAGTGCAGAAAGTGACAAACAAACAGACAGCAAAAACCATTTGACCGTTTGAAAAGAAACGGTACATAGAGCTGTGTTGCCAGCTTAACGCTTTTTTTTTTTGGGGGGGGGGGTATTTTAGCAACTTTTCAGACCCCTCTAGCGCTTTTATTTCAAGAAAGCGCCAAATCTAGCGGTTTTTTCTTTTACTGGAGACTTTATATATAAAAGTGTCAAACTCTGCTCTCCAGAGTGAGTAGATTTGTAACCTCGCCTCCTGCTCTACTCTATTTTGTCTGTTGTCATGATTCATGCAGGGCAGGAGAGGACCTTTAAACTTCGAATCCAGATTGCAAATGAAATTCACTCAAGGTTATAGGTCAAGGAAATAATCTCGCTCAAGGTTACAAACTCATGTAAAAAACCATCCCTCCATTTTCTGACCATTCTTTCTGACCCATTCTCCTCCTCTTCACCACTGTCTTCTTCTTCCTGAGTTTTTTTGTTTTTTTTCATTGATTGGCGAACAACTAATTGTGAATTACGGACAATAACTGGCATGGAGTATGGAACTAAATGGCTGAATTATATGTATTTTATTTACTTACCTCTTTCTGCACTGCTTTGATAGATCAAAACAAAGAAAAATTGCAGGGATTCTGAATCTCATACAGCTAGATGAGATGAAATATGCAAATTGGGTGATGATGTCGCCTTATAGCGCCTTTTAGGACAGCCATTAGTGGTCTTACTGCTGGGGAGTTGGCAACACTGGCAAAGAGATGAGAGAAGCAGAGAAGAGAAGCTATTGAAGAAAAATTCTAAATTGTGACACAAAAAAAATGGAAAAATATGAACTTGAATGAAACTTGTGATTAAATTGAAATGGGTGTGCCTCATTTATGTAATCAAGGAGCAGGATTTACCCTTTGTTTCAGCTGGTCATGAGACAAGGGATTTATTGTTATTTCTTAAGAGAGTTTATTTCAGAAATTTGTTGGTGTTCCCTAAAAGAACCAGCGCCAGTAAGAAAAGGGAGTAATAGAGAACGGCTGGCGGAAGTCTGAGCTCCTGAATCGGATCGACGGTAAGATAGGTGACACTAACTCAGCGGAGCTTGAATATCCAGCTTCTAGCTAACTTCCCCGCAGCAATTCATGACAGATTTCTGAAGCAGTCTTAGAGTTCACAAAGTTTTTGTTCTCCGCACATCCCATATTGCTGAGTTCTTTCTATATTGTGGCATTTTGACACAACTTTGTCAAGAAGAACCAGCACCATCGCAGAAACACAAAATTCTGCAGGCAACTGTTAGGACAGCTCAGTTACAGCACTAGGGGGCTCAGATAATAAAAAAAATATAGTTTTAACTAGTCCAAATTACCTAAAATATCTTGATTATATTTCCGGATGTGTGAGACTTTAAATGACAAATCAAATGATGTAATTTGACATATCTCAAAATGCATTTTGACTCTCCACAGTATGATTAAAGATATCTTGAAATGTTATTTTCCCCTAGACATATCCTTTCAGATATCTTAAAAAACCATTATTAAGGGCAGTTAAAATTTAGTAAATAATGTTTGTTTATTCTATTGAATTTCTGTATCACTATAATGGGTCTGTATTATCAGTTCTCTTCTCAATTCAGAGGGCCCCATGGCTGTCTTTGCCTACAGCCCCAAATTTCCTAAATCCGCCCCTGTGACTAACAATGGGAGAGAGAATTGTATGTGACAGCTAGAAGGCTCAACATGGCAATGTATGCTGGGTCGAAAACCAGAGAAGAAGAATCAGACATGAGGCATGTTTGCTTGGGTGAAAAACAGAAAGATGAGAGAAATCACATCTGCTTTGGTAACCATTGTCTCCTGCACCTACAGGGTTTCCAAAAGATCCTGCAAAGGCAACAAATATAAGCAACCACTCGCACAGACAAAGCACACACACCCACGCACACATCCATGCACATCTTTGTTAATGGCAAACGTTAGCCTTGGTTTTGACTCCATATAAGTGGCATTGTGTGCTCAGAGTAAGGTGAGTGTGTTATTGGGAGGGCGGGGAGGTGGGTAGCAGGCGGTGTTAAGTCAAGCAGGAACCCTCAATGTTGCTAATTTATTTACAGATTTAATTAGATGGATAGAGCCCTCACTGATATGAGAAAGAGAGGAGAGATGTTGCCAGCGTTACAGCACTTTAATTATGGTAGCAGGCTCCTGATCCCTGCGCTCTGCTGTCTGGGGAGCCAGTTAATTAAAATCCTCATTATTTTACTTTTAATTAGTTCCCCCCTCTTTTGTTTCCTTTCACCATATGGCTATGTTCCGTGGTCAAATTAACGTAATTGAGCTAATTAAGCCGATCACTTTAATTATTCAAAGTGTTCTGATTGGCCAGGAGAACTTTTCTCCCTCTCCCTCCATGACATTCCTGAATGAGGCTCAGAGTTAAAAAGTCGCTTTCTCTCTCATACTGTTCCTCTGCTGTAAATTATTGCTGCAAAAGCTCAGTTCCTTTATGTTCTAAAACTGTTTCATGTTTCACTACCACACAAAAACCGGTAAGTAACACAGCTTTTGGGTTCTGGGTCTTTTCAAAGATAATTCTGAACATTTAACACACTATGGTAGCTGCTTTGCAATCATCTGGTGATTTGGAATTTTCAGCTAACAAATAGCTGGAACAGCTTGAGAAGTTTTTCAAGAGCTGAAAACAGGTTCTTTCAGTAGTATAATACGAGCTGGATGGAGGTTTCAAAGAATGGGGCAAGCTTTGGATGAGCCCTTTCTGTCAGCATTCGGCATGGGAAAAAACAATCCCCTGTCAGGTGTTCTTTAGTTGCATCATTTGGTCTCCGCTCAGTTGCATTTTTCTCCTCTTAAGCCAAGTGTCCCACTGGAAACCCCCCTACTCTCAGGTTAAAGGCCTCAGGCCTTTAAACTGCCTGAACTTGTATTGTGACTTTCCAGGCTAAGGAACTCCAAAACATTTTTCTCTATATTCAGATATTTGCACCTTGATGGTGATAAAAAAAACAGCCACAGCTGCTATGGGGCAGAAGAAAGACTGCAGTACACAGGTTCCACTAGGCCCTCTGATCACAATTATAAGTCAATGTGGGCAAAGCGTCAAGTCCAAGAACATAAACTGAGATGGACTGAGCCGGGGCTCAAACCAACAACATTCTGGTTCTAGGAGTAACTACATCACTGTCTCCCTTTACCTATTTATCATTTATTTTCCTCATGCCAAATATATTTCTCAATTTTGACACCTAAAGTGCTTCAAATGCACAGTTATGCACTGGTAGACTGTTTTTTTTTTCTTTGCCATTGGCCAGCACTGAAGAACTTCCTGCTAGAAGAAACTTTTGGTAAAAGTCACGATCCCTACATTTTTCTGTTGTTCATGAGCAGCTGTTGTGGTATGGTGTCCGACTTGCTATAGTATGATTACTCAAGTTTTTATCATTCAATTATTTGTATAAAATTTTAGCAACGAGAAAATGACTTACAGTATCAGTTTTGCTTGAATCATGAAGCTGAAATGAACCAAATACAGTACTAAAGCTAAGCTGAAAGACATTAAAATATTTTACATCATTGAGAGATAGTTGGGTATATATATATATATATATATATATATATATATATATATATATATATATATATATATATATATATAT